CCTCCCGCCTCCCCCGAACGCACCTGGACGCCAAATGTCGCCAGCCACCTGCTCCTCTGTGAGGAGAAACTGCCCTTTCTGCAGTTCCCCCCCCCCGGCTTTGCCTCCGTGAGCCGCAGGGCATTGCTTCGTCGGCCTGAGCACAGCGCGGCCTGCTCTGCCCGCCGAGAAAACCCCCGGGTGTGAGGCTTTCTGCAGTAAAAATGGAAACGTCCCTGGGCGAACTCCCTGACTTGCAAGTTTGATAAGGCGGTCGGAAGCAAAATCTGGGTAGCACGTGTTTTATTCTGCCGAGCAGTGGGAGATGTGACTGTGGCCCGTCTGTGCTGTTGTTTAGCGAAATCCTGTCCTTGGCTTCGCGTGGGTGTGTGTCCTCCGGTGGTGTCCTTAGAGGACAACGGTCATGTGGGCAGACTGACGGGGTCTGCCCTAGAAACTCCTGCCAATTTAGTACTGTTGTTTCAGGGTGCAACACGTTTTAAAAATGATGCTTTCAAGCTAGCTGACGTCCTAGCACAGTTTATCACACTAGTTTGTTCTTAGTGTAGCTTATTTGCCAAGAGAACTGTTGATGTAGCTCCTGTAGCCTCGTATGTATATAAGTATGTGAATATATGCCGATAGAACTAGAACACGAAGTCATTTTCAGTGCAGACAGGAGGAGCCGAGTGATGAGATCAGCAGTGGGAGGAGCATGCTGTTGAAGTAGATGACTGATCTTTAAAATTTAACTTTGATAAAGTGACGCTGGTGCTCTGTTCTAGTGAAGGGAACAAAATACTCCCTTGGAGGACTATGATCCAGCACATGTGAAATCTTCTGTTTGTAACTTTGGCTAACAACAGCTGGTGCAGAGAGTGAGGATTCCAATGCTGCTAATATTTTAAGTAAACAAGGCAGGGGCTTGACACGGGGGTTGGTGAAGAAGCATTCCCAAGTTAGAGGTATGCCTGTGCTTGATTATTAGTTGTGGCGTTAAGGAAGGCAGAGAACTTTTGGCAAACACAGTCTACTGGCATCCTTCGCTTGCTATTGAAATACTTCCCTGAAGAAGGAAATGTGGGAGCTGTTTTCTGACAGGCCCACAGGCATTTAGGGCAGAAATTAAGCGTATAGCGCAAAATTGAAATGAGAACCTTCGCAGACAGCATCATTTTCAGAAAGAATGTTGTCTCTTATTCTATCAGGCTGTGAAAAACTGTTACTAAGTGGGCCAAGGATAGAGTTAAAATTGTAGGAAGATGTAGTGCCTTTTGGTGCTGTGACTCAGATTATCTTTGTGATCTCCAGGGTTAGTGTCACTACGTCCTTTTTCTGAACGAAAGATCTGATAGGGACCGAGAAGGTTCTTACGTTATTATGGCTGAGTATTACGCCCACTGTAATGAGCACGCTTCTGGTCTGTGATGACTAGTTGATCGTTTATTTTTGTAGGTAAGCAACATTTGGCATTAATGTGCAAGAAAACAACAAAATGTAAAATCATTGCATGTTTTCCTAGGTCATGGTGAGGACTAAGTCAATGAAAAAATGGAGTGTTCTTAAGGTAAATGCAAGACTGAAGTACAAGGGATGTTTTAAAGTTGAAGAGCAGGCAGCGTGAGAGGTGTCATTACAGTAGTAACCACAGCAACAGTTACAGTTAGTTAAAGTTGTGAATAAATTTTGAGTGCATTTTTTTTGAAAACGGAAGGGGCCTGGTTTTTGTTGCTTTAGACTTCAAAGATTAAAGTTATAGGCTTCTTTTTCACTAATGTAGCAGGTACTTGTTCAGTCATAGCATAAATAAAATACCTCATTAAAAGTAATAGTAAGAATTATTCCCTTGCTGATCAACTGAGAAGAGAAGAAATGTGAGGGAGAAGGAGGCAATGGAACTAGGTATTTTATTTCAACAGTGTGTTCTTCATATGTGTAGGCAAGGGTCCAAGAAATGAGAGGCAGTAAAAGGATGGAAGCAGTGAGAAGTCTGCTGGTTATTTTCAAATTATATGAAAGTAGGAAGAGAAGAAAGAGATATGAGGAGGGAGTGCTGCGTAGCTGGGGAAGGAGAGACAGTTTCCCTGAGTGTTGTTGAATTCTTGAAATGTAGCTTGGTTTTATACCTAAACTTTGTATTTTGTGAGGTTTTTAGTGATAACACCCCTCTCCTCCGCCGATACGCAGTGTAGGCAACTGTATAGCCCAGAATACACAGACTCTAGGGATAAAACGTGAAAAGAAACGGGTTCATAGCTACTTCACTGAAGATAATGACAGAATTGAGATTGAGATACTTTTTGCTTCTTGCTCAAGTTATGTATTCTTGAAATTACAATTCTAGTTTTGTTATTCAATGAAAGTGAGGTGACATTATGAAAGAGGTAGGTCCTTGATTAAACAGTGGCTCTTGCAGTGTGATTCTGACCTCAGTGTCAGCAGATGGTTTGCTTTTCAGCTACTGCACAGTAACACCAATCTTCAAACCTTGGGACAATAATCACATGCTTTTGTTAACTTGTCTTGCCAGATACCCAGACTGAGGTGTGCCTTTTACCGTCTTGGAACTGAAGCGCTATGGAGCAGTACACAGCGAACAGTAACAGTTCCACAGAGCAGATTGTGGTGCAGGCTGGACAGATTCAGCAGCAGGTATGGAAGGTGATAAGGGGTGAGCTGGCATTGCCAGCACTGAGTTGCAAATCTATTTGTACTTCTCAGTTTCCCAGAACCAGCAAGATGCTTCATGATACTGTTTATATATATAGTGTTTACCTGACTTCTGTCACCTGATCAGTGGTTAGTGATCTGACTTGACTTGAAGTCTGAGTAAATATGTTTTATAAAAATACTTATTATAAAATTAAATTTAAAAAATTGCAGGTATACAAGTTACCAAATTTCAGTGTAGTAGGGAGTTTGCAAACTGGCAGTGACATGAGGGAAGTAACAAATCCTCTCTGAAAGTGGTGGAAACAGAATATTAATCCAAATAGTCACACAAGGAGCGATGTAGATTACCCCCAAAATTGAAACAGGTTTTGTTCAAGCCCATAGAGGCTTTCTTCAGCTTTCTCAAAAGATTTATTGAGATCCTTTGTTTTAGAAATACAGGTAGATCAAAATGAACACACAGTACAAGAATTGCAACAAAATGTGTAGCTTTGGATAAATTAATCCATTCTAGAAAGAAATTTCTAGTTCGTGTTATAATGTGCAGATGAGTAGGGCTGGGGTTTCTTTAAGGGCTTTTAGATTTTTGCTGTTGTTAAGCTTCACCCATTCGGATCTAGTAATGCATTTTCAGATGAGCTGTGCTGCTGCTGAATTTTTGTTGCATCTTATGTTTGTTCTAGCTCAAGGCAAGAGGAGTTTCTTAGTTTGTCATGCAAATGAATGAGCCACTGGATGATGTTTTCAGTGAGATAGGCTTTGCTTTGTCATCAGCCTGTCGAGCGTTTGGTAGTGGGCACCACCTTCTTCCACTGAATTCAGCTGAAGTTGACTTTTTCAGTAAGAACAAGATTGTACTTGAGGTTAAAAAATTATATATGAAGAATTATCAAAAATACCCACTTCCAGCAGATTACCAAAGATATATTTGGTTTTATTGACACTTTATAGGTAAAAAGGAGGTGAAACATATCTTGGCTTGTTCCATTTTTAGTATGTGCTCTTAAAGCCTGTGTTGTATTTGACATGAAACGTTTTTCTAAAACAATTTTTTAACAGGTCTGTTGTAGTACAGCTTTTAGTAGAGAGATGTCCTTCGTCTCCCAAATGCTAACACAGTTAACACAGGTTATTTTGGGAGTCTTACTAAAGAGGCTAAAGATAGAAAAGGCTTTTAGATTTAACTGCTCTTGCAACCTCTCAAGATTGTCCTTCAAGGTCAGTGGTGGGAATACCTTGATGCAGGGGTGACACAGATGAAGCTTAGACTGTAGTCATCTGTGCTGCTGTTCTGTGCAGAAAGGAATTTATGGC